CACCTCGCCCTCGTCAACGTCTACGCCCGCTAGTGAAGCCGCGACTTCGGGCTCCAACACGCATGTCCGCAATAAACCAGCCAGGATCCGCAGCGCAGCAGACGGCCGCGTGGAGCCGCTGCGGACCATCTGCAAACCGAAGGTCACTTAGCATGTTAGAAACCGGAGGGTGCTGGAGTCAAGGAGCGTGAAACTATACTAAATCCGTAATTTTCGTGATGTGTATATAACTATGTACACACACACACACAGACACAGACGCTCGTGTGAGTGTGTTTAAGTGTATGTGTGTGTATATATGCATATGTGTGAATATAGATTCAAATAGACACGATTATGTAACCACACAAAAAATATAAAACCATGACAAAAGACCTCTTGGATGAGCTTCAGGCGGCCGTGGGCGTAGTCGTAGGTGCTGTCCCAGATACGTGCCTCCTGCTGCCACGCCCGCGTCTCCAAGTCCTCCTCCCTCGTCACCAGTGCCGCCCGCATGCTCACGGGGCCGGCCAGGCCGGCACGGAGCTCCGAGATCATTGCAAGCACTGCCCACGCCGGCACACACACTATACACGCAGGAGAGAGAAGATACTCTACTGTAATCTTTATTCAACGCATCTTTCAGAAAATATCCTGTGGAGATATAGCTACTTCCTGTTCATTTTAAATAACTGCAGTAGAGTATACCGCAGAGCTAGTGCACAAATCTTCCTCTGACGATAACTAAAATGTCCACTGACAGCGTGCATCATACGAGGGCATTCCCTAATTATCCTTTGCTCTCTCCAGTGTCCTGCTGACACTGGCATTTCATATTCGATAGCTTTTAATTCATGATATAGTTTTTCTTGATATAAGTTCAGGTTAAATGATATTTAATCTGAGCGTATAGTATCCATACGACCATCTCTATTGGATGCCCCTGTGTCATTTCCCTAACCTTATTCAACCCCAACGCCGCTCGTACCTGTGGGCTCCTCAGCGAACACGTCCAAGGTCTCCATCAGCTTCTCTTGTTCCTTGTGTCTCCCACCGTCTTCGTGGACACCCAGCAAAGTCCTCTCATGTTCCTGCGCGTCCTCGCTTAAACAGTCTGTTGGGAAAGTGACTTTGCTGACTGATCTCTTATGGGATTGTACGTCAAAATCTACATTATTATCTATCTTATCAAATACTCATGATTATAAAAGCAGACTAATGGAGGCCGCGTTCACACTCACCCACAGCCAGCTGCGGCGGCAGCTCGAGGTCTAGGCTGAGGTCTTTCTCAGGGAAGGAGTGCAGCAATATTGCATTCTTGCTCGGTCCTTCGCGGGCTTGTTGCGAGCGCACAGATAACACGGGCGCCCTTCGACTCTCTTCGTCCTCTTCCTGGAGTTCTGCTGTTTCTGCTCTCGACTCGCTTGTCTGCCTCGTGCCCTCCGTGGTTGTATCTGTCTGCTGTGAATCCGCGTGTCGGAATCTCCGTTTGGCTGGGAAAACGTGGCTGTTCAGGTGGTCACTAAAGAGTTTGTCAACCACCAGCTGATCCAAATTAGATGCCAGCACGCTCCCGTACACTATCTGTGTCGTGCAGAAGGGTATTGTAAAAGAACAACACAGTATAATATTATATCACAGTGATTAACCCATTCGCGCCGGGTAAAAATGAACAAAAAATGGGGGAAAATACCGTGCTCAATTTTTATACTTTTTGTGAAAATTTTCTACACTAGCTGGCTCTGCCTTACCTGATTTCATTTGGCGGGAAAATGTATTTTTACTATTACAGTGAATATAGCTGGTTATTTTTATTATAAACATTATAATTACTATAATGTTAGTAACAGCAAAATAAGATAACGTATAATATTTTCGTAAATTAAAGAAAAGGGTAAACAGGCGAGACAGGCAGTACAAGTACAAGTGCAGCCATCTATGTGTAAAAACAATTAAACAAGTAAACTCACAGTGGGCCCGTCCCATATACGTGACACCCGGCGTGAATGGGTTAAACAAGGGCTTGTCATTCATTACCTTGGACAGGAGTTTGGCCAGGACGTCCCAAGCCGGGTTGGCGGAGGAGCTGGACGCGGAGTGGTGCCTGGCGGCTTCCAGCGCCTCCACCAGCAGTGTCTCCGGCAGCATCGGCTGACGGTGCCACCCCTGGCTTCTATACTCCCCACGGACCTAGAAGGAAATTCGCATCCTATAATGAGGTCGCATTACCTTGCGAGCGAGTGGCACGATTATGTCAACAGCGACTGTGCTGAAAGTACTTGTGACTGTATTTAACAAACAGCTGAAACTCACACTGAGCAGAGAGTGGGCGTAGGCGGCGATCAGCGTCGCCGCCTGGGCGAACGAATCAGATGTTCCGGTAGAGTGGGTGTGCGACTCGTGGTGGGCGTGGGCGACGGGCAGGTAGGAAGCGAGGGTGGAGGCAAGGCCAAGGGGATGCTCAATCTGGGCTGTTGCATGAGGGACGTCTTTATAAGAGTTTGAATATAAATGTTCTCTA